CGATCTGCCTTGTAACTTCAAGCCGTATTGTCATTCCGAAGTCTCTCCAACGTCGAGTACTACAAGCGCTCCACAAAGCCCACCCAGGCCAAACGAGAATGAAGATGCTAGCTCGAAGCTATGTCTACTGGCCATCGATGGACTCGGATATCGACAACCTCGTCAGGAATTGCACTTCTTGCGCAGGAGCCGCCAAGAACCCTGTGAAGACCGAGCTCCAGTCCTGGCCAAAGTCAACCAAGCCATGGGACCGAGTACACGCGGACTTTGCAGGTCCTCTGGAAGGGACATTCTACCTAGGTCGTCGTGGACTCATTCTCAAAGTGGCCCGAGATCATCCAAATGAACTCCATCTCATCGTGTGCTACAATCAGGACTATGAAGAAGATGTTCGCACAGTTTGGAAACCCGAAGACGCTCATCACGGACAACGGCACACAGTTCACCTCCAGGCAATTCGAGGAGTTCTGCCGTCTTCGAGGAATCACACACATCCGCTCCCCTCCTTTTCATCACAAAGCAATGGACAGGCGACGTTCTTGTGAACATTTCCAAAAGAGGACTATCCAAACTGAAGAGGGAGGAAGCAACATCGGATGCACTTCAAACCTTTCTGATGGCATACCGTTCAACGCCCTGCATTTCGGGACCAGATCAGCTGTCGCCGGCCGAAAACTTTCTGGGACGTCGAATACGCACACAGCTGGACCTGATGATGCCCCCCTCCAACGAGAGCAATGCACAACGAGACACCGGAATGGAGCGACAATTCAACAAGCATCATGGAGCACGACGTCGCTACTTCGATATCGATGATGCTGTCTACGCCAAGGATTATCGAGGAACAAAAAGCACATGGACGCCTGGCGTTGTCGTACGACGTCTAGGCAAGGTCACTTATCTGGTACGCTGTGGCAACTTATTATGGACACGACATGCAAATCAGCTCAAACGTCGTGATCACGCTCCCATAGTCGACCAACTACTGGACGTTTTCGATCTCGCTCCACTCCGCAATGAACGTACCACTCCCGCCGATCGAACGATGCTTGACAATGCTACGACGCCAACTTCATCCAGTCTCTCGACGCAGCACAACGGTTCAACACCATGCTCATCGGCACCGCCAGGACCACCACTACGACGATCTTCACGCAAACGTTCAACGCCGCATCGACTCACAGTGGATCCTAAGAAGAAATCATACGATCTTACTTAAAAGGGGAGGTGTTGAGGAGATAGGAAGTGTGCTGATAAGATTAGCCCCAGTATCTCCTCAGTACCTCACTTGCATTGTATTGCTCATTGTCGACTCTGCTACTCCAAGCGACGGTCGGGTAAGTTCTTCTTCTGTTCATATTCTGTTGGTATTCGCTGATAAACCTTCTACGTTCGACGTGCCACTACACTGTGATTCACCGCCCTTCGCTTAGTTATTGCCCTTCCTTTCCGCTACCATTGAAATTGAGGCCATGTACCCTTTTGCTAGCTCAATGTATCATCCACAAACACCCCACCCCCCTCCCGGCTTTCAGCTTGCCTGTCTCACATCTGACTCCAAGGTAGTGCGATAACTTAGGACTCTTTCGCCCTTTGGAAAAACACAGTTCCTCGTCTGCCTATCTGCTGGGGCCGCTTACGAGATGAAATTCGGAGTCAAGCAACCACGACCCACTCAGCTTAACTTTGAACAACAAGACATGGGCTAATAAATGTCTCAAACCATACTGTATGGAAAAGGTCTGTTAAGAATACATCACTTAAATATTTATTACGATGGAGAGTGTAATATTACATGATATCTCGCCAGCGTATAATACTAATCTCTCCCATTGTTTTCGTAGACAGCAAAAATTGAATGTGTTCCTGAAGTCAGACGCTGAATTCAGATATCAGAAGGAAAATATCTGACGAATTCTTATTTGACTAGCAGTTTGATTGGAATATTTCTGATCCATACGAAACTCTTGTAAAATTTCTTTCCCTTCAAGAAGGTTCCGATAGCTGAGAAAGAACGAAGCTGGAATTAAATATCTAAACCCAAAGGCATTAGTGAATTCCTTCTCTTTCTTACCCAGGCGCCGATATATTGCACCCCTGAAAGTCAGGAAGCGCGTGGCTGCCGCCGCCGCTGTGCTTCATTCGTGCATGACGTGGGTTCACAGTATTCGTCGGCCTTTTTCGACTTTGAAACTACTGCGTATACGTGTTCGAGCTGGAGAAATCAATTATCTTTGGGCAGAAGCTATTCATGGAGGAGGAGTCAATACTTGTCGGAACGCTAAGCGTGCATAGTGTGGCGACTTGTAAAGTGGTGTATTGTAGGCATAAAATCATGTTCTAACGTGTGAATACTGGGAGTGCAAAAAGCCCCCTCCAAGCCGTTTCACATCATAATCACCCTATTTTGTAAATGAGACAATATCCTGGAATATCTTACCCGATATCTCTTATTATGCGACAGCGAGTGCTGGAGCAGGCTCCTGGCAATTCGGCGAAGTAACAGGCTGCAAGAAGGCACAACATCAAGCCAAACTTAACCCTTTTCGGATAAGCGCGTCATCTGTTAGCATCCTCGTCGTTTAGGAACACCTTACTCAAATTGCTGCGCTGCCGCGTAGGATGAGCCGCACGCGACAGCGCGGCAAACCACGATTGTCTCACAATCAGCCGTTTCCTCTTGCCGCGGGAAGTGAGGCGACGTCGTGGCACGGCATTACGCATATTGCCTTGGAATGCAGACCTATTGGACTAGCCCCAAAATGTCAATTAAACCCAGCTTGCATTTCGCTCTTGACGCAAAGAGAAATAACCGAAACCTTTTCTTTTTGTTCCTTCCCTGAAGAAGGGTTGACATATTTTTTGCTTCTTTTACTGCTCTTTGGTCTCTTTTCTCTTGTAGTCGCCTCGGTCTTCACATCGCTTTGTACTGCCGTGGACTCCTCATGAATTTCATGGCTGTGTATATTGGCGTGTTCGGCCGTCTTCAAATGTTGTTCCTGCTCTGTAAAAAAAACAGTGGTCTTCTTCTCCATACTATTATATGAGAACCTCCACAAATCCTATCCATTCGCAGCCTCAGCGTGGCGCAGAGATGAACGCTTCAAACGGTTTCAAACCGTATCAATGCGGAAGAAGCCACGTGAAAGCCCGGCGAGCTACGCGTGGTGAAATTTTTTTACGTCGAAAGCAGTGATGGATGTGTGCCTCATTACCCTAAATCTAAAGAAACCACCGACAGAGCGGCGCCTGTTGGAACCGCTCGAGCGAGAGTCGCCCAGGGCTACGATGGTGATCTGTACTTTCAACGCACGGACGCTTGCATCGGAAGCTCACATCGAAGATCTGATGTTGCAAGCCAGGAAGATCAAGTACGACGTCATCGGACTGACCGAGACGAGGAGGCATCGCCCGCTACACGCCGTATACGAGACTGGAGAAGAACTGTTCCTCGGAACACGCGACAGCAACAGCGAGCAAGCGGAACGAATGCTGGCTGAATTCGACTGCGCGTGTGGAAAAATCGGTCTACGGCTGAATCTAACGAAGACGATGTTCATGAGAAACGGATTGGTATCTGATGCCCCCATTCACGCTCAACGGAACGACCATCTCTGAATGCTCTAGCTATGTGTACCTAGGTCGTGAAATCAATATGATGAATGACTTAGCTCCAGAGCTGAGCAGGAGGAAGCGAGCGGCTTGGGGAGCCTTCAAGAACATCGAGGGAGTAGCGAAGAAGACGAAGAACACCAAGCTCCGTGCCCACCTCTTCGATTCCGCGGTCCTTCCTGCCTTGACGTACGCCTCAGAGACTTGGACTCTACGAAAGCAGGATGAGCATGCGGTTGGCGTTATTCAACGCGCCATCGAAAGGGCGATGCTCGGAGTTTCCCGCTACACGCAAGTGAGAGAGGGAATCCGGAGCTCCGCACTCCGCCGACGATCGAAGATCAGAGACGCAGCCGCATTCGCCAAGGTTTCGGAGAGCAGGTCCGGGCACTTCATACGTTTTGGGGACGAACGCTGGATCAGAGCGATTACCGACTGGATTCCAGGGGATGTCAAGCGAACACCTGGACGACCGCCTACGCCATGGTCAGACTTCTTCGTGAAAGCTCTGAACCAGTGGTATGAATCGATCTGCCCTCAAGCAGGGAGAGCCCATTGGGCAACTCTTGCACATTCCAGGGACGAAAGGAGACGCCATTGAACCCGTTGATCATCGAGCTACTGGCGCCCGCTCGAGGAACTCGATGATCAACGGGAGCACAGGTGGTACTGATATAATGAGAAAAGGAAGTAGAGAGGAATTCCAATGGCGCTGAACTTACTTGAATTCAGAGCCAGGTTATTTTGCTTGATGCTTGAGCGGCGGGACAAGGCTGAAAATGTGTATAGTGGGCAAAATTGCTCTAGAAGCTCCACAGTGAGTTATTAGATCCCACCTCCACCTCATGGTAGGAACGGTGGTGTAGCGTGCCTTAAAGACAATGCCGCGATCAAGTGTTCGGGTAATTGGTGCTCAGTCACGAAGCAGTGGCCCATTTGTAACCCCCCAGTGGAAAAAAAATCGAAAAAAAACCTCGCGAACACCCTGAACACAGACCTCCCTTTAGCAGTGGGGGCGGGGCCTGGACGAGTGTGCCGGACGTGGCTGCCAGAAATCGATGCGGCAGCCGCAATTGCGTCCCGACTTTCGAAATAGGATACTTTAAAGGGACGGAAGCAGCTCGGGACCGGACGCCTCGTCCACCTACCGTGTCAGCGAGCCTAGCGAGCCTTGTGGAAATCGCTATAACTTCCTTATCGCGCCATATTGAGGGATGAAAGTGGTATCATCTTCGTCAAGGCGTAGAGGGTTCCAAAAAGCACGAAGTCATTTTGAGGACCACTTTATCGCGGGGAGTGTCTTTAAGCACGTCCATGGTCTCAGGGTCCAGACCACGCACTGCACAGCACTTCGCCCGGAACAATTAAACCTCGCAACCTGAGGGTTGGACGGCTGCGTGGCCAGGGGGATATTTTGCGTCCAGCATTTTACTACTTTCTGTGCAAGCCTCCTGTGTCTGTCCCCATCAAGCCGAACTTCCTGGTTGGGTGATGGCCAGAACTGGTGTGGAAGGATTAGAGCGCGAAGCTAGAGGCACATTTCATTACAACCGGACGTCAAGTTCCACCGGCGGAACTTCTGTGCACTTTCAGTTCGGTCATCTTCTCAAGGCGCTCTACCTGCGCCGCACAGTAGCGATCCTGTGTCTCCGCCTCGAGGGCCTGGAACGTGGGCCCTTAGGATGGACATGGAATTTTCCTTGCGCGCACAATAGATACACGCTTAAAGACAGCTCCCGCGATAAAAGTCTCATGGATAGCTGCTTCCCAATTATGAAACAGCAGCCGATAAGTAATCTCCCAAAGAAGAAAACTGGCAAGAAGCGTTCTCCAGAACAACATAAACAAAATCGCTCCCTCACAGTTACACCTCCCTGCGGTCTCTGTGCAGCCCCTAGCTCACAAATCTCTCTATCACATCTCGCAGTAGTTGATATCATCTAGTGCAAAAGAAAGAATACAAAAAGAAAACAACAAAAACGCAGAGGAAAAACTCTGGAAGGAAAAAGGAATTTTATCAACACGGTGTCTGAATTTGTGATTACGGTAGCGCACCTTTTGTGCGTCGTGGTTTTGCATCACGAAAATTGCGTCACTCGTGTTTTTTACGCGTTTCACCTCGCGAAATGGGTTGAATTGAATGTATATACCTCCAATGAGTAAACTGTAATGAAGGAGAGCAGAATTATCCAGGGGCATTAGCAATGCCGCGCCCCAACTAAGAACAAGTGAGTGGCCTCCGTCGGAGGACATCTAGCAAGTAAAGGCGGTCCGACTGAGGAGGAGTTAGAACTAGCACTTTGAGCGGCTATAGCAGCCTCCACGCTCACAATAGAGTCGCGAAAGGTGAACAGTCTTCTAGCTTGGAGGCTAGACTACTTGCACAGCAAAGGCGACCACGAGCCACTTTGATCGCGGGGGCTGTCTTTAAGGTGCTTCGTCTGTGGACCAGCGAAGCAGCTTACGAGGCACAGTTAGCCAAGTTTTGTTATCCGGCCACTCTTCCACTTGAGTTGCGCTATTAATCGATATCGGCGCTTTCCTACCAATCGTGATTTAAATACCGTACAAGCCTCAAAATAACAGCGACTTACAGCGGGTGATTCAGGGTTGAGCTGTTGCACTTTTTCCTTGGACACTGGAGCTTTCTCCTTAGAGGCTGGCGGTTTTTCCTTGGAAGCTGGCGGTTTTTGTGGCAATTTTTCCGTTTTTACAGGGCGTATTGTCCCAGGTGTGCTGATTTGACATTGCGAACGTCTTGATGCTGAGAAGCCGATGGAGTCGAGGGTTCTCTTGATTTCGGTGCACGCTTATCTGCGCATACGATGTAACCCTTGAAAAAACTAGCATTAAAGACAGAACCCGCGATTCATTCGCCCATTCTCAGCATGGTGGATTGGGGCTCCATATAGACGTCAAGGGGTTGAGTAACTCGACTGTAAACAAAAAAAGCACAAAAATTGTGCCACCTGCCCTAAATAGAACCCCATTTCGATTCCACTTGGGTACGTGCCTAACCAACTCTATCTCTGAAACTACGCCTTCATATGCACAGCTGATTCACCGATAAGATCTCTACGATCGTACAAGTGGCGATTATCGTGCTTTTTCTTCTGCAAACTCGTTTTTCAGTGGAAGCCGGTCATTAGGGGCGGAGTCTGGAGGCGGAGTCACTGGAAAAAAGGAGGAGCCACTGAACCTATATTGCGCTATAGCGCCCCTCCCATAGAATTTTTTGCCGCGAAACCGGTACAAGGTTGTTCGTCGCGGACCACTCTAACCTCCTGACGCCATATTTTCAACTCGATACCTGATCGCGGACCATGCCTTTAAGCCATCTGCATGAAGAACGCACTAAGTTACAGCTACTGACGATTAAACACAGTCCACATATAAGCGCAAGAAGGGCCGTTAGGACGTGGCCGCGAGAGCCAAGACTGTTGATGGGGTCGAGAGAGGAACCATCCTCGAACGAGACATAAACCTCCGTTATTTTCTAATTCTTAGGGCAGCGGCTTACTCTCTAAACACCCTAAACTCTATCACAATACAAGCCGCCGGCGCCGATCCACTGCAGTCTACGCCCGCGTTTGCGTCCATAGTACAGGAGTGCTGTTGCAGCACGTCGATGCACTACACGTGCATTACAGCGCAGCGTCGCGCATGCCTCCACGTCGCCTATGCCATGTTAGAACGTGACGTGTTTCATGTATAAGGACTGCAACCATGGGCGTGGGTAGCGTGCTTAGTCCCGCTGTAGCAGTGGCGTCCCTCCGGAGCACACGACGATGGGAGGCAGACGAAAAAAGGTAAAGCAGGAGTGTGACAGAGCAGATTCCGCGCGAGAGTACTAGTAGCGGTTGCCGATACCGCAGTTTTGCCTTCTAATAGGGACCTGTACAGAGTGAATGCGAGCTGATTTCGCATTTTATACCATTGCCTTTTCCAAGCGACCGCTGAGAAGATGGTCTGAATTCAGGCGCGACAGCGAAAAGGTGACAACGAATCTAACGAAGACGATGTTCATGAGAAACGGATTGGTATCTGATGCCCCATTCACGCTCAACGGAACGACCATCTCTGAATGCTCTAGCTATGTGTACCTAGGTCGTGAAATCAATATGATGAATGACCTAGCTCCAGAGCAGCAGAGGAAGCGAGCGGCTTGGGGAGCCTTCAAGAACATCGAGGGAGTAGCGAAGAAGACGAAGAACACCAAGCTCCGTGCCCACCTCTTCGATTCCGCGGTCCTTCCTGCCTTGACGTACGCCTCAGAGACTTGGACTCTACGAAAGCAGGATGAGCATGCGGTCGGCGTTATTCAACGCGCCATCGAAAGGGCGATGCTCGGAGTTTCCCGCTACACGCAAGTGAGAGAGGGAATCCGGAGCTCCGCACTCCGCCGACGATCGAAGATCAGAGACGCCGCCGCATTCGCCAAGGTTTCGAGAGCAGGTCCGGGCACTTCATACGTTTTGGGGACGAACGCTGGATCAGAGCGATTCGACGCTATATCCAGGGAGTCAAAGCGAACACCGGACGACCGCACTCCACGGCATGGTCAGACTTCTTCGTGAAAGCTCTGACCAGTGGTATGAATCGATCTGCCCTCAAGCAGGGAGAGCCCATTGGGCAACTCTTGCACATTCCAGGGACGAAAGGAGACGCCATTGAACCCGTTGATCATCGAGCTACTGGCGCCCGCTCGAGGAACTCGATGATCAACGGGAGCACAGGTGGTACTGATATAATGAGAAAAGGAAGTAGAGAGGAATTCCAATGGCGCTGAACTTACTTGAATTCAGAGCCAGGTTATTTTGCTTGATGCCTTGAGCGGCGGGACAAGGCCTGAAAATGTGTATAGTGGGCAAAATTGCTCTAGAAGCTCCACAGTGAGTTATTAGATCCCACCTCCACCTCATGGTAGGAACGGGTGTAGCGTGCCTTAAAGACAGATGCCGCGATCAGTGTTCAGGTAATAAGTGCTCAAGTCACAGCACTGGCCCGATTCTGTAAACCCCCCCCCGGTGGAAAAAAATCGAAAAAAAAACCTCGCGAACACCCTGAACACAGACCTCCCTTTAGCAGTGGGGGCGGGGCCTGGACGAGTGTGCCGGACGTGGCTGCCAGAAATCGATGCGGCAGCCGCAATTGCGTCCCGACTTTCGAAATAGGATACTTTAAAGGGACGGAAGCACTCGAGGACCGGACGCCGAACACCTTGGTCCACCTACCGTGTCAGCGAGCCTAGCGAGCCTTGTGGAAATCGCTATAACTTCCTTATCGCGCCATATTGAGGGATGAAAGTGGTATCATCTTCGTCAAGGCGTAGAGGGTTCCAAAAAGCACGAAGTCATTTTGAAGACCACTTTATCGCGGGGAGTGTCTTTAAGCACGTCCATGGTCTCAGGGTCCAAACCACCGCCACTGCCCACAGCATAATCGCCTGGAACATCTTAAACCTCCAACCTGAGTGACGGTTGCTGTGCCAGGGGGAGTTTTGCTCTATGCATTTACTACCTTCTGCTGCAAGCTCCTGTGCTTCAGTGCCCATCAGCCGACACCTTCTCCGGTCTGGGTAATGCCAGAACTGTGTGGAAGGATTAGAGCGCGAAGCTAGAGGCACATTTCATTACAACCGGACGTCAAGTTCCACCGGCGGAACTTCTGTGCACTTTCAGTTCGGTCCATCTATCTCAGCCTCTACCAAGCGCCGCTCAGCTACGATCCTGTGTCTCCGCCTACGAGCGGCCTGAACATGGCCCCTAGGGATGACATGGCATTTTCTTGCGCGCCACAATAGATACACGCTTAAAGACAGCTCCCGCGATAAAAGTCTCATGGATAGCTGCTTCCCAATTATGAAACAGCAGCCGATAAGTAATCTCCCAAAGAAGAAAACTGGCAAGAAGCGTTCTCCAGAACAACATAAACAAAATCGCTCCCTCACAGTTACACCTCCCTGCGGTCTCTGTGCAGCCCCTAGCTCACAAATCTCTCTATCACATCTCGCAGTAGTTGATATCATCTAGTGCAAAAGAAAGAATACAAAAAGAAAACAACAAAAACGCAGAGGAAAAACTCTGGAAGGAAAAAGGAATTTTATCAACACGGTGTCTGAATTTGTGATTACGGTAGCGCACCTTTTGTGCGTCGTGGTTTTGCATCACGAAAATTGCGTCACTCGTGTTTTTTACGCGTTTCACCTCGCGAAATGGGTTGAATTGAATGTATATACCTCCAATGAGTAAACTGTAATGAAGGAGAGCAGAATTATCCAGGGGCATTAGCAATGCCGCGCCCCAACTAAGAACAAGTGAGTGGCCTCCGTCGGAGGACATCTAGCAAGTAAAGGCGGTCCGACTGAGGAGGAGTTAGAACTAGCACTTTGAGCGGCTATAGCAGCCTCCACGCTCACAATAGAGTCGCGAAAGGTGAACAGTCTTCTAGCTTGGAGGCTAGACTACTTGCACAGCAAAGGCGACCACGAGCCACTTTGATCGCGGGGGCTGTCTTTAAGGTGCTTCGTCTGTGGACCAGCGAAGCAGCTTACGAGGCACAGTTAGCCAAGTTTTGTTATCCGGCCACTCTTCCACTTGAGTTGCGCTATTAATCGATATCGGCGCTTTCCTACCAATCGTGATTTAAATACCGTACAAGCCTCAAAATAACAGCGACTTACAGCGGGTGATTCAGGGTTGAGCTGTTGCACTTTTTCCTTGGACACTGGAGCTTTCTCCTTAGAGGCTGGCGGTTTTTCCTTGGAAGCTGGCGGTTTTTGTGGCAATTTTTCCGTTTTTACAGGGCGTATTGTCCCAGGTGTGCTGATTTGACATTGCGAACGTCTTGATGCTGAGAAGCCGATGGAGTCGAGGGTTCTCTTGATTTCGGTGCACGCTTATCTGCGCATACGATGTAACCCTTGAAAAAACTAGCATTAAAGACAGAACCCGCGATTCATTCGCCCATTCTCAGCATGGTGGATTGGGGCTCCATATAGACGTCAAGGGGTTGAGTAACTCGACTGTAAACAAAAAAAGCACAAAAATTGTGCCACCTGCCCTAAATAGAACCCCATTTCGATTCCACTTGGGTACGTGCCTAACCAACTCTATCTCTGAAACTACGCCTTCATATGCACAGCTGATTCACCGATAAGATCTCTACGATCGTACAAGTGGCGATTATCGTGCTTTTTCTTCTGCAAACTCGTTTTTCAGTGGAAGCCGGTCATTAGGGGCGGAGTCTGGAGGCGGAGTCACTGGAAAAAAGGAGGAGCCACTGAACCTATATTGCGCTATAGCGCCCCTCCCATAGAATTTTTTGCCGCGAAACCGGTACAAGGTTGTTCGTCGCGGACCACTCTAACCTCCTGACGCCATATTTTCAACTCGATACCTGATCGCGGACCATGCCTTTAAGCCATCTGCATGAAGAACGCACTAAGTTACAGCTACTGACAATTAAACACAGTCCACATATAATAAGCGCAAGAAGGCTGTTAGGACGTAAGCCGCGAGAACGCCAAGACCGTTGATAGGGCGAGAGACGGGAACCACTCCTCGACGAAGACATAAACCCCGTCATGTTCTAATTCTTAGGCCCGCAGCGCTTACTCTCCTAACACCCTAAACTCTATCACAATACAAGCCGCCGGCGCCGATCCACTGCAGTCTACGCCCGCGTTTGCGTCCATAGTACAGGAGTGCTGTTGCAGGCACCTACACGTGCATTACAGCGCGTCGTCGCGATGTTCCACATCGCCTATGCCATGTTAGAACGTGACGCTGTTTTCAGTGTATAAGGACTGCAACCATTGGGCGTTGCGCGTAGCGCTTAGTCCCGCTGTAACAGTGTCCCTCCGGAGGCACACAGAGGGGGCAGACGAAAAAAAAGGTATAAGCAGAGAGGTATGTGACAGAGACAGATTCCGCACGAGTGTACTAGCTAAGAGGTGCCGATACCCGCAGTTTTGCCTTCTAATAGGGACTGTAAGAGCTGAATGGACTGATTTCGCATTTTGATACCCATTCTTCCAAGCACGCGCTGAGAAGATGGTCTGAATTAGGCGCGAAGCAGAAAAGGTGACAAGCACCATACCCCAACGGCAGGGAAAACATCGACCCTGCCGATCCAAGCCGAGCTATATCCAGTAAAAGGAAAGACGAGCTCTGCTCCGCATCAGGCGGTTGGGGGGGGGTGACTACAAGCAGCTGCACGACAGAAACGAGCGTATTCCAACATTGGTCAGCCTCCTCATTTATAAATCCGTCTGACAACGCTCCTTAGACATCGGTATTCAGATTTTCCTTATTATTTACCGCTGCATGGAATACCACAAGAAAGCGTACCTGGACGAGTGTAAGCAAGGAGAAATACGATATGTAGTACGGTGTGTAGGCGAAGCGATCAAGGAACCACCAAATCTGCTGCATGCTGAAAGACAAATGAGACCACATCGATGAAATGATCACTTTGACCAGACCGATCCTCTCCAATTAGACCTATATCACTCTCCAATTGGATCTTTGAGAATGGGTGTCGATCAGTCGAATGAAACGAGAAGCCGTCAAGCGTTACTGGCTCACTTTGTGGTGCCAAGACGTCTGCGTCCTTTGTGCTGTGGGCACTCACTGCCCTCTCTGCACGTGTACTGATCTGGAAATCAAAAGCCGCTGGCACCCTTGCCATGCGCTTCCTAGCAAGGAAAGTGGTTCAACCCATTCGACAGTGGACCTTACACAGAAAAGACTGCTCTTTTCAGGCCACCGCGGAATGCGTCTTTAAGCTTCATGCCCATGCTCCGAACGTAAGCAATGACGCGCCTAGACAGCTACGGATCTGCTCACCTGGCACATAGGAGGGTCATCTGGCAGGTGAACATACGCCGTATTTTGAAGCGAAAAGGCAGCTGCTAGAGCTGGAACCCCGACATAAATCCATTAGACGGAGGGAATGGACGACTCATGAACGTGTGCTCGTAGGTGCAATAGGACTAAGGCCGGAGAAGTACCACTGCCATCG